TATTACTATACAATTTTGGAAGTATCAGAAGTCGAAGAGGGATTTTGCTGAGCTAAAGCATGGTGTTGGTAGGGATGGTTCCTTCTGGAAACTCAGAAGAGAATTCATTCCGTGAGTTTTGCAGTTTCTACAGGCATCTTTTATTTGTTGGCCTGTGACCACCTTGCAAACCACTGGTGTTTTTAAACTGGTGTCTCTGATTCTGAAGCTCTTGCACCTCTTTCATTTACAACTTTTGTGGTCCGAATGGGCCTGAGTATTCAACCCAGGGATATCTCCAGTCTCAAGATTCATGACTTAATCAAACCTACATGGTCCTTTTGGCAATGCAAAATAACAGTATTCATGGGATCTAGGAGTGAGTGAGAACGTGGACATTTTGGCAAGCATTAGTCTACCCAATGGAGGCTGTGAGTGACAGATTTATGTTTCGGTGTGTTTTCTCAATACCTCTGATATTTGCACTGACCAATTCTACCTAAGGCTCCATTGTGCAGAAGGCTTTTAAAAGGTGAAACAATAGCTGGAGAGTCAACTCAAGGGAAGATTATGAAAACAGAGATCTGGTCAGGTGTGAGATAGTAGATGAGGGACACATAAACTTACCGTATTGCTTCTAAAGCCATCTCTTAAAACAGCCACTGTGTAAGCATCACCCTGGAAATTTCTTCAGCATTTTTTTTTCATTTTGCAGGTGAAAAACCTAACACTCAGATGAGTAAAGAACTCATCTGAGGTCACTGTAAATCCATGGTTAAGCAAGAAATCTCGTCCAACCCTTCAGTGGCCCCATTTCATAAAATTTCCCAAAGCATAGTTACCTCATCAAGACTTGGTTGTGATGTGTGTAGAATATAGTGTCACATCAAGAAAAATACAATCTTCATTTTAATTAAAATGAGCTTACAGTAACCACTATAATTTTCTCTCTGGTATTTGTAAGTCATTTAATAAAATTCTTGCTGTAACTTACAATAGTCCTGTGCCCTGTTCAAGGCCTCTCTCTCCCTCACTTCATCATTTTATGACTGGCAAAGATCTTAAACAGATCATTATAGTTGAAATATCTGAAAGTTTGGAAAACAAAAGCATTTGCATATCCATGCCGGTATGAAGATATTTTCTGAAAAAAAATGAGTTTTCTGAGAGATTAGATTAAAAACAGCTCATCTTCCCACTTTATTTCACTAAACTAGTTTTCCTTTCTTGCCCTCATTGTTAGCACAGAGCATGAAATTTTCCCTCCAAGGATGAGCTGCTGAATTTGGTTTCCTTATTGTGGCATCCACAAGTCCATATTAATCAACCTGGCATACCCCTGTGCCTGCTGCCATTTCTTTGATATGTGAGTAGAAGTTCTGCTGTGGAACAAACCGTGTCTGTGTGAACTACCCCCTGAGGTGGATCTGGTATTCAGGAGCATGACAGGGGCTGTGGAAGGTTCCATCCTGTACATTTTGAGAGGAATCATGTCAATGTGACAACCATTAGGCACTTGTTTTCATCATGCAGAGAATCAAGAGGCAGAGCAAATCAGCTGGCTTTCCAAAGAATGTCACGCTTCTGAAAAAGCTGTTCAAAGTTTGACTTTTTTGCTTTTCAGTTTGTTAAAATGTTTGTCCAACTGGAAGGTGAACTGTAAAAACTCGGCTGAGTTGAAACAAATAAAATGTCCTTTATGGTCCTCTCCTGGTTCTCTGCGGGGAGCTGGGAGAGCCACCAGGTGATCAAATGTACCTGGTGCCAAAGAAAGGGCATGCTTAAGGCTAAAAAGATTCTTTTGGCAAAAAGAAAAACATGTCAACCAATTTTTTTCTTTCTAAAAAGAAGAGATAATTGATGTCTTCTTCATATCTTGTAGGACCATAGAGAGGACAAAAACTGTCATATTAGAGGTAAACTGAAAAGACTACTGGAATTTGACAAAGGTCAAGTTCTAAGTGTTATTCTTTCTGAAGCCATAAATGCCTACAGAGTAGTCAGTTATCAGGAAAAGTTAGATTACTGAAGTTGAACTAAATTGTATTGAATTATAAACATTAAGACAAGAAACACTTCTGTATTGCAATAGCATTGTTAATACATAACTTATTTAAGGGCAATCTTACACATCTGATCCATGGTACTTAAATGTTCAGCTCCATTAAGGTTGAGTTCCAAGAAAATCAGATTGCTGCTCAGATCCTGAGCATCACAAACTCTACCAGAGCAAACAGAAAGCAACCACCAGCACCACAACGAGAAAATAACTAGGGCCTCCACTGTTTCTGTTAGGTTTCTCGATTCTTCTCATGCCCACACGTTGCTACTTCACCTCTCTTCACTGTACTTTCAAATATGTCTTAAATGTTTCAAGTCCATACAAAGCAGTGGCAAGCCACATAACAATATTTACACACATCAGTACCACCACCACCACACCATGCAAAGATACAAGAGCAAAAATTAAATTTTGTTCTTCTTCCACTGATGCAAGGTTTATGATGTGCCAATTTGACTGCATGACATTTCTCAAGCTTTTCCTTGTGTCAAATGCACTTTGACAAATAAAATCAGACAAATCCACCACTTTTAATATCCCTTATCTTTGTATTCATTCATCAGGGAATAGCAAAATCATCAGGGAAGAGAACCCAAGTCTATTAACTCTTTATTGTGTAAAGATGGCATTCTCTGAGCTGTTGAAAAGTTCTGAAAGACTGGAAGTTAAAGTGTCTTCTTTGCAATATCACAGGATAAATGGAGCCCTAAACTTGAACTAAGAATACCTGGGGCAGTCTCCCTGATTTTTTTTTTTTTTTTTTTTTTTTTGTCCTTCTAAGATTAGGTCTACTTAATCAAGTTGCATTTCAAATTTTAGAAAAGACCAAATTATATAAGAAACAAAATTTGAAAGTGAATTACAAACTAATGGAAGCATGAATGTCAGTGCAGTATATAATGATCTTAAAGCCCAAGTAGGAAACAACCAAGAGACTCTACACTTGTACACATCTTAAAGCCTAGGCATGTTCATAGTCCTTGGTGTGTCTCCAGTATGTAGCACAGTTTCTTGCACATGGTCAGTGCTTATCCTTATAAAAGCCAAGAATGTGTTGATGGTTTAATGAATGGGTGGTGTAAGAATAGCTACAAATAAATGAATAGACACAATATATAATAATATGGTCAATTATTTGTTCAGTCATAGGGAGCAAATTTGGGCTCCTGAAGGAGAAAGAATAGAAAAGAAGAAGACTTTGGAATGAGGGAAGAAAGGAAAGTTCAGATAGAGAAAGGGAGCACAACTTGTTTGAAAGTGACAAAAGGGATTCTGGAGAAGGAAAATGAACTAGTTGGCCTTAAAAAATGGGCAAATTTGAGGGAAATGAAAGGGAAGAAAGAGGGCTGTGTGGGAATAGTTGATGGAGAGCTGCACATGCATAAATGAAGCATTTTCTACTATTTGGTGGGCTAGATGTTGAAGAGAACTCAGAGTGAACAGTAACTATTACATGGACCTCAGGAAACTGCTCAATAACTTATCAATGAGAAGTTGCAGGGGCTGGGGATTTAGCTCAGTGGCATAAGCACCTGCCTTGCAAGTAGGCAGTCATGAGTTCGATCCCCGGTACCCATAAAAAGGAAAAAGACCAAAAAAAAAAAAAAAAAAAAGAAGTTGCACACCAGGTCTAAAGGAGCAATAACCAATGGCTCAGTCCATCTGGGTGTGTTTTCATGAAAGAAGTGGTTCCTGAGCAGGTGTGTGAATCTTTGGTAGTGGTGGGCACAAGAAATGTGGAGTCAAGGAAGCTATGTGAATTTGGTTCTAAAGAAAATAAGGTTTCTGAGCAAAACCATTCTACTAACAGACCTTTACTTTAGTCATCACATTCATACAACTTCACCCCACACCAAACTCTTCCTCTGGATTCCTACATCACGTGACAGTGTACAGTTGATTGCGGTCTGTCGTCTTTTGTCACTCTCTTGCATTTACTGTAGTCTCATCTCCTACAAGAAGGAAGTTATGTGCCCTTACCCTGAACTTCCACCCTGTGCTTTTAAGTCATTGAGAAGAAGCTACCCCTGGTTCATCCCTGCACTGAACTTCTTGCTCCACGCTGTTTGCAGCAAAGTCTTTGATACCTCCATTCTCATGTTTATCCTGCTGCCCCCTGGAGCCATCCCTGCCTGGATCTATCTCTTCTTCTGCCCCATTTCCCCATTTTGTTCTTCTCCTTGGAAGTTTACATTTACTAGTCCTTGGCTTTTGATTTCTTCCCCAGGACTCTGGTTTTTATTTTTGACTAGTTTAAAGCTGCTCTGGCTGGTTTCCCACTTCTCCCCACCAGGATCACATGACTCATTTCTGTGGCTTGATCTGGCAATGATCTGATGCCACTGAAATTCTACAAATCAGCTACTATCTAAGAAAGCACGAGAACATACAGCATATTCTTAATAAATATTTTAAGTAATTAATTTTTTAAATGTTCGTATTTTTGCCTTTTGACAGTCTTACAGTTTCTTTAGATTAGGGATATGATGCTTGTCTATGAATATTGTTGGGCACAGAGAGCACTCTCCTGTAGTGCGACCCACCCTTCAAATTCAAAGAACAATTCCTTTGACCTCTACAGAGGCAGCTTTCTTTGAGGGGCCCATGGAGCAAGGGCAGAACTGCAGACTTCGTGAACTGCATTTTAAGCACAGCACATGGTGAGCACTCTGTGTAACTTCCCTGTAAGTTAGACTAGTACTTATAATGAAAGGTTTGTGAGTTCAGAAAGCCCCAGGGTATTCGAAAAGACAGTTCGGCTTCCTGTCTGGGAAGAAAATGACAGCTCTCCTCACTGGGATTAAGCTTCAGATATTCAAGAGGAAAAAAGGAAAATGTGTGAGTGATGCATTGGATCCACTGACTCCTGAGCATTACCCCTGTGGAATCTGATGCCTAATGTACTGTCAGTGCATTGAGGTGCTGGGGATCCTTTCAGGAAGGAATGTTGTCTCTCCAGATCCAACGACCACCCGTGAGGTACCGGATGGACGGCAGAACAGCTGATCCATTCTCCTTCCTGCATATTTCCTGAAGACTTTTCATACTGGCATCCTTGTTCTAATTCTGCTTCTACCCAAGTCTCAGTTATCCTTACTCTTTTGGATGGCAGCTGCCAACTTCACCTGAACTATCTCGTCTAGAACTCACTGCCCTCAACTATGTGGTCTTCGTACGTCAGAAGGTGACTGAAACCTCAGTTAAATCATTTTCTACTAAAATCCCTCAGTGATTTGGTTTGCTGCAGAATAAAAAAGAGTGATCTATCACAGCATAAAAAGTGTTATATGAGTTGGCTCAAGTCCAAATTCCCATCTCCTTGTCCACCCCACCTACCAATATCTGCCTTCTCCTTTTCAAACTCATACTAGCAAATTATTTTTCATTATTTAATTTTTCTAGTAATCCTATGTATTCAGAATGCCCAAACCTATAGTTACGTTATTTCCTCTGCCTGTGACAACGTTCCACTCCTTCACTTGGAGAATTTTGGTTTTCTTAAAGATTTAGCTTACATATCAATCAGATTCACTATGTCAAGTCCTCCCTGACTCTCAGTAGGCATGATTAGACACCCAGTTTCTCTGTTACCCGCCCCCCACTCTCTATACTACACTATCCCTACATGCTCCTGTCTCCAGGTTAGCTTTTGCCAGTTCACAATATAATCTACCCCACATTCTGGGCAATCCTAGATAAGATCCTCTAAAATTTCCATTACTTCCAAAGAATTCAGTATAGCAGTGGTGTCTCAATAAACATTTCTTAAACAAATGAATACACTTATGAAGCATTCTTAGGCAATGAATAAAACACATAAAATATGAACATATGTTGGGGGTCAGGCAAGGTGGGGCTAATGGTTAATCCGAACAGTTAAATGAGTAAAGCCAGAACTCTAACATAAAAACTGAGACAAACTAAGCAGTGCTTGAAATGAGATTTGATACATCCCCACTATCAAGAACTGTAAACTAAAGCTTTTGAAAAAATAGTATTATCTTTGAATTTCTGAAAGAGAGTTTGGGTGCCTTCTGTAAACCTCCAGAATATGGTTTATTGTATTATTGACTGTGAAAAGGAAGACTGACCCTGGGGAATGATTTAATGATAGTCTCTAAGGAGTCACAAAGGTGTCACTTGGCCATGAAAATGGAAGTTTGAAAGAGAAAGAAGAAGCTGTAGATATAAATTATGCAGTATTTTGGTGCTTTTGATATTATGTCTCACAAAAGGCTAACGTAAAGTAAGACGGGAGCAGAGAAACTTTTTGATTAAATAACAAAGCCAGATTAATATTTAAGGGCCAGTGTATCTATGAGTGTGGACAACTAAAAAGGAAGAGAAATGATTAAAAGAAATATTTAAGGTTTTGCATGAGCAATGATTTAGTTTATTTTGTTTGGCAGGTCAATGATAAGAAAAGTGCAATAAAGTACCAAGACCAGCGTCTCCCTCCCCAGCCTTCAGCCACACTAACTGTCATTTCCAAGATCAGCAATAATTATTCCAGAAGAGCCGCTATCTTAGTCTTTTGTGCTGCTACAACAAATTGCCTCCAATTGGGTAACACAGAAAGATCAGAAATTTATTTTTCACATTCTGGAGGCTGATCATCGAAGGTGCTGACTGTTTAGTGTCTGATGTGGAACCATCTCTGACTCTGTTGCTTCAGCCTACAGAGAAGAGGAACACAATTTCTTTACATGCGGGAAGGTACAGAGGTAAAAACAATGAACTCTTTATGGAGAGCCCTTAATTTCATTCCTCAATTATCTCCCAACAGTCATACCTGTGTTAATATTCTCATCTTGTTTCAACATGAATTTTAGAGGGAACAAAAGCTGTCAAATCATAGCCCCATGTGAGTCACCCTTGCATAGACTATTACCAAAAGCATTGAAAGAGGTGGGATAACATGCAAATTCCAGAAGTTTCTTAGATGCTTTCTCACCACAACAATCTGGTTCAATGAAACAGAAACAAAACAGACATCAGAATACTCTGAACACATTCAGGGCTTGGGTCAGGCCAAGTGCAAGAAGACAGAGCAGGTGATCTATACTCTGTCACGTAGACAATCTCAGCAGCACAGGCAATGCTAGAGGGCACTGTGAATTAAAAGCCATTTTCCAGCATATATTCTTTATTTCAAATCCATGCTTTCTGTGGTGGAAGAAATCTTCCACACACTGCTCAGCTGGTCAGCTCTGAAACCCATGAAAGGCCAAAGATTACTCCCTGATAACAGCAATGGCTTTGTTCCTTGGTGAAATTGCCACTGTGAAGAGGTACCGATGTACACATAGACTTGTTTAGTAAGAGTCCGTTATCTCTAGTCTCTTTCAAAATTGCTAGGAAGAATCCACAGGCCTGGGTTTTTCTTGCTTTTCTTTAAGATTTTTTTTTCCCCGATTGTATAACTGGGAGCAGTGTTCCACATCTTAGGCCAATCATGTAGCTTTAGCATCCAGGTTAGTTTCATCTACGAAATGCGAGGGAGCCTGAGGCAGGGCATCTACCAGCAGAGCTCTAGAATTTAAGAGTACGTAGATCACTAAGGTCATTTACTAGTGTGCTTATTTCGCACAACCTCAGCTTTTCCAACTCAAAAATCAGTGCTGAGAATTGCTGCTATGTTGGTCCTCCTCTCACTGAAATCCTGAAAATATGTAAAAAAAGAAGCCCCCACCCTGCAAAAAAGTGAAAGCTGAAACATGAATTAAAATAAAGTTTACATCAGATACAGGCTGATAAAGTTTACATTAGATACAGGTACACCGTCAACATGGAGCCAAACAAGTAAATTTGGGGTGATACTTCATGAGTTTCACATTAGAGGAGTCTATAAAGCCTCTGACTAGGTCCCTTTTATCTATTTGCAAACTGGGGAGTTGTTATTCAGCTTTCTGTAGCTGCAGTAAAATTTAAGGAAAAAGAAGTTAAAGAAAGAAAAGTTTGTTTTTGACTCATTTTTCAGAGGGGGCACTTCATAATCATTTCGCTTCATTGCTTCTGGTCCTGTAATGAGGCAGCACATCTGGACTCCCACCCTACTGGACGGTGCTATATTCACAGCAGTTCACCCACCGCAGTTTGCTGTCCCACATGCCAATCATGTCTGGACACGCCCTGACAGACACAGCCGGAAGTGCACCTTATTAATTTCTAAGCAGTTCTCAATCCAATTAAGTTGACAATCAAGATAAACCATCACAGGGAGGTTAAACCAAAAACCAAAACCAGGAGTCACATTCAAATATCTACAGCTGAGGAGCATACAGCTTAAATGAATGAAGCATAAATGTTATAAGGAGAACATTGCACAATGGAGAAAAAAATTAAATATCTAATTTTTTTGTTTTTTTCTTTATTTTATTAATTAATTAATTAATTTATTTATTTTTTTGAACTGGGGATCGAATTCAGGACTGCTTGCAAGGCAGGTGCTTATGCTGTTGAGCTAAATCCCTGGTCTCAATTTATCTAATATTTTCGAATTCAATTGTTTAAAAAAATTGGGGCTGGGGATTTAGCTCAGTGGCATAAGCGTCTGCCTTGTAAGCAGGTGGTCATGAGTTTGATCCCCGGTACCGATAAAAAATAAAGGTTAAAGAAAAAATTACCTGCACCAAACTAAAGAAAATTGAATCAGCAACATGAGCAACATGCAACATGAGCGTGTAGACTCTGTGGCCTATAATTTCTAAGATCCCTTCCAACACAGTATCTCTGTTCACAATTTATACCAATATTGCAGAACAGTAACAGGCTCTGGGACCTAATCTGACTGCAGTCATCGCTCTGATTGTGTGTGTGTGTGTGTGTGTGTGTGTGTGTGTGTGTGTGTTTGTGACAACAAATACGGATGAGTTGGGGTGGGGAGGAGAGAAATGAAATTTTAATAAAAGCAAGAGAAATCCAACAAAAAAAGAATCTCTAAATTGGAAACTTCTAATAACAGTATTCAAAAGAGATGGGGCACATTCAGGGTGGTATGGCCATAGACTGGTGACGGTATTACTTGCTATGATGATGCTGTTTAGACAGACAAGAGAAAAACATCCTAGGCTTCCTTGGTGACCATAAGAAAACCAAGAAGTACATTCACATCAATCAATATTAGGCACCACATACAACATGTTCTGAGATGATACACAAATGGAGGTAATAGTGTGGGAATCCAGGAAAGCTCTGCAGAAGAAATAATCTTCAAATGGAGCCTTAAAGAATGAATGAATTTTTGACCACAGGCAGGCCAGGTAAGGGGTCCTAGGTGGAATGAGAAACATTATACAAGTGCCAGGAAGAAGAAAGCACAAGATACATTGGGAAACACAAATAGTTCATTATTTGGTGGGAGAGCCGATATCACCACTTGGAGAAAATATCATGAGATAAAAATATAAGCTGTGTGAGCTCAGACAATTTACTTTATTTTTCTGAAAAATACTTTTCAGAAAAGTAATAATGTATCTATTTTACAGAATTTCCATGAGCTTTAAAAATGCTACTGTATATGATAGCAAGACTTCAATAAGTTTACTTTTCTGATTAGCACAAATAGCTGATGTAATTTCAATGCAAAAAAAACACCCTTTACTCTTGTCACACACACACACACACATACACACACACACACACACACACACACACACACACACACACTGTCTTTAATATTGTCCAACATTACTAATTGGGTAGAGGACGTGGTGGTTCATGACCCAGCCCTTCCATTCAAGATTGAGACCTTCATTTCCCCAGCTGCTAGATGCTTTGGCTGTTGATAACTGTCTTTTGCAGGGAAATCTAAGAATTGCCCTCTGCCAATGGCAATCTGCTCGTAAAAGTCTAGACTCTCCAAGTCAATCTGCATGCAATGAAGGGTTGATGAAAAAGTACAAATTCCCAGCCATCTTGTTTCAATTTAGAACAATTCTGCAGGACCCTCTCATGCTAAGAGCTCTTTGGAGGCCAGGCTGAGGCCACCGTTGTATCTGCACCATAGCTAAAGCACTCCTACCCATTCCTGCTCCTTTCTCTCCCCTACTGGTGCTGGTCCCTGTGCTCTTCAACAAACTTCTTGATCAAATCTCTAGCTCAATATGCATTTCCAAGTAACCCTACCCAAAGCAGTTATATTCTGTTAATTTGCTGCAACATAAGAACCTCAATGATTCACCTTAAAATTTATTGACCAGGGCCTAAGGCACAACTACCTTGCCCTGGGCAGAATCCTACTCTAGAGTAGTGCTTGTGGTGGCCTCAGGGTACTCTAAGTAGTATTTCTACTAAAGAACTGACATAGAGGGCATATACTCCTTGCCTTGGAGATTTGAACAAAAAACAAGATTTGACCATTCCATGCCCTCCAATCTATAAGATGCCACCAAACAAAGGCAGAAGAAAACAGTTTTTGTAACACAGATCACTAAGCATTTCCTACTCCCTCAGCATTGTAAGGAGGGATTTCCTGTACTGAACCTTGTCTTCATTAGCATGAATGCATACCCCAAAGTAGCTCAACAGAGCAGTAAACCTCAGTGAAAGCACTAGAATCAATTGCATGAAAATGTTCTTCCACAGGAACTGGGAGGTCACAATTGGAAGATGTGGTCTTCTAATATATTAGTAACAGAAAGTGAGAAAGCCTGGAGGAGCATTTGTTTCCTTCTAGGTGAGAGGCCAGTTAAAGGCTTAGAAATCTAATCAGGAGCCCAGGCTGTCTGCTTCAGAGTCCTGGTACCTGGACATGCTTGGGCTCTTTCTTTGGTGGAAAAGGGCTGGCTGATGTTAGCCTCACCTTTCCCTACCCCACCGCTAAACAGAATTAAGAATGGATGCTTAATGCTAGTACACCCAAAACTCATTTGTGCTGAAAAACTAAAGCTGTATTTGGCAAGGCTTCTTGATTTTGCAAACAGAAAAAGACACATTTACAGGAGTGAGAATGACTTTCTCACTTACTTTAAAGCACTTTACACTTTGTTGAGAAGTCAGAAGAGAACTTCACTGAAAATCCGCTAAAACAATTACTGGGTTATTAGCATAGACTTGTAAGAGTTAGCTTTCAAGCTCCCACAATAAAGAAAGCTCTTTAATAGACCCTCAGTCCCCCTCATAAACCTCAGGCATAAGAAATTTTAGCAAAAAATATCCAAAAGAGACCAAAAGGCATTCAAAAAATCACTCATTAAAAAATTATCTTCATTTCTTATAGAAGAAATCAGTAGAATAGTGGTTACTAGAGAGTAGAACAAGAGGAGAAATAGTAGAGACAGGGTAACAGAGACCCAAAATACAGTCACAAAGAAAAGATAACTGTTTTCTTTCACAACACAGCAATCAGACTAGAATTTAGAGTGATGTCTTATGTATTTTATAAAGTACCACAGGAGAGGAGTTCAAAACCTCCCAACATAATGATAAATGTTTGAAAAGGTGAAAATTCTAATCACTCTGATTAAACATTGCAACCACTGACTAAGAGTATGTTACAGGGGGAGAACATGGCAGATAGATAACAGCAGCTACGGAGGCTCTCTGAGATAGCCAGCTTAGATTCCTTCCAGGAATAGTGTGGTGTGGGGAGTCCTAAACAGGGAAAGATACAGCCTGCCAACCCAGGAACAAACTAAGCTGAGAGAAACCAACTGGGAATGCAATCCCGACTGGAACAGCTGAAGTCTCAGTGCTAAAGCTGGAACCCGTACCTCTGGAAACTGCGGCTTGAATTTCCTGCCACCACTGCTGCATCTGAATTGGCACAGCAGGGATAGAGACATGAAAGCTCTGAGAGTGGGAATCAGCAAACTGAATTGAGAGCAGAGCTGGTGAGGAGTCGTGCATCGACCTGTGGTGAGTGAGAGGAACGGGGACACTTCCATAGACTAGGAAGCTCCAACAGAGACGTTCTGGGACCTGGCAGACTAGCCAGAACAGGAATTCCCCTCTCAAGCGGGATTGGTGGAGAGTGCTTGATCTGGGTGACACCACGGACTAAGATGCAGTAGGCTAGCCCAAACCAGGTCCCTGCGCCTAGCAGTGCACCCTAATGCAGTGAAGCCTTCAGCAGGTTGACTGACCTGAAGGGATGGGCCCAGCATAGGCTCCCCAGGTCTGTGTCTCCCTAGTACATTGCAGTGGGCGGGAACACCTACCCATCGTGATTCAAACAAACTGTAACCGACAAAGAAAGAAACTGGGCCTCCTATATACGCTTGTATGGAAGGAACAAAACGTATGGGAAGAGGGAGCAACAAGAAAGGGTCCTCAGTCACCAATCCTGAGAACACTGATCCAGGAAAGGTAAATGCAAAGGAGAATGAGGACAGAAAACATGCACTATCAGGCACGGCACCAATAGACATAAAGCAATATCTCCAGGACCTCATAGATGAGTTCAAAAGTGAAGTATTTAACCAAGTAAAGCAAGATATAAGTAGAATAGTTAAAGAAATGCTAAGCACCTCCCAAGAAAACACAAATGGTGGAATGGAAGAACAGAAAAAAAGGAATTGTTTGATGGAGAAAATAGAGAAAATGTAGAATACATGAAGCAGGTTCAAAGAGATTACCAGGAAACTAAAAATTCTATTGAAAGCTGGCATAACAGCTTGAAAGAAACTAAGGATAGATTATCTGAACTGAAGGACAGATTTGTAATGTGGGATCATAAAAGGAAAAACTTCTTAAAAATAACAAGGAAACAAGCAGTAACAATACAAAGGCTAGAAGATGATAAGAGGATCTATAACTTAAGAATTAAGAATGTAAAGGAAGAAGCAGGGATACAAACAAATGAACTGCAAAGGCTATTCACAGAAATAATCAAGGAGAACTCCCCAAATATGGGAAAAGGTAAAGATACTCCAATCTATGAGGCATACAGGACCCCAGCCACCTACAACCCAAACAGAACTACACCCAGCCATATAATAATCAAAATTCCAGAAATTCAATATAAGAACAGAATATTAAAAGCTGTCAGAGATAAGAAACAGATCACTTACAAGGGAACACCCATCAGAATTACAGCAGACTTCTCGGCACAAACCATCAAATCACAAAGAGTGTGGGGTGAAATAATTCAAGCTTTGAAAAACAAAAACCTCCAGCCAAGATCGATATGTCCTGCACAACTGTCCCTAGAAATTAATGGAGAAACAAGGTGCTTCCAGGATAAAAAGGAACTAGGGGAATTTGCAACCACCAATTCAACTCTACAGAGAATACTGCAGGACGTTCTAAAAGAGAAAAATAGCAAGATTCCAGAAACAGTAGCAGAGAGGCCACAATGAGTGGAGCACAAAGTGAAATGAGGCAGACAAACTGACAACTAATGACCGAAAAAGAGCTCAACAGAAATGAGGCAGGTTGGATGGTAGGAACAGCTATTTTGGAGAAAACAAGACATCATAATAGCTAGTGCTGATTTAATATCATCTTGTTTTGAAGTCCCATCAGGCTTTATTCTTCTCTCTCCATCGGTCTTAACATGTTGTATCTTATTGGATTTTGTTATATGTAATAATATAAACAAAAACTTTTATAGACAAGGAGATAATACAGAAACCATTGTTCATTTTATGTTAGTTGGTTCTAAATACCCTGTAATACTGTCATTCTCTTGAATGGATTTACATTGTCTTGATATGTTTGATGCTACAGTATACGAAGTTATACTCAAAGATTTCAAGGAAAGAGACACTATGGTAATTACTTTTATGTCAGGATATCTTGTGGTGAAATACTATTTTGCTTAAATAATTATGTTCTGACCTGTGCTGTTTTGTTATGTCCTCTTTTATCTCAATCTCCTTTTTTATTATTTATTTTTTATTTTTGTCTTTTTAATTAAGGGAAAAAATAAATTTAAAAAATAGCAGTATATATTATAGTAACCCACTTGATTTCCTATTAATTTGATTTGAAACCCAGTATTGCTCTCACCATCTTGTTTTGACTGATTTTACTGTATTCTGTTTTGCTTGATAGTACCAAGTTTGAGAGTATAGGCAACGAATGTGAAGAGAATAAGATTCAGTATGATGCCAATTCTGATTTGACTATTATCTTCTTTTGAACTCCTGTAATGTCTCCAGTGTTTTGGTTTTATTCTTTACTGTTTTCTTCAATTTTATTATAACTGATGATATAGGCAATTCTTTTTAAGATAGCAAGAGGCATTATGGTAACCATTGTTGATTACCTTGTATTCTATTTATACATTATGTACTATGTCCATCCTTTTGATTTGACTAACTCTGTTTTGTTATGTCACATTTGGTTTTATTTTCTTCAAAAAAAGTAATAAGAACTGTGGGAATAATAAAACCCAAAATGTGTAATTGTCATTGTAAAAAAGAGAGGAAAAGAAAGTGCTCTAAAGGATATAACTACATGTATATTTAAGCATATAAGATAGATAACCATATTACTGAGGGTTTTTTTTTTTTTGGATCATTGAACAGAACTGTTTGCAGTCTCACTGTCTGAATATCTACTTTATGTGCTTTAATTTTGTAACTTGAACAACTACTTCTAAGATGACAATAGGTAATCTATTAACTAGTGATTTCCTACTGTTTATTTTTTTTTGAAATTCTGTATAACTTGTACCCTTTTTCTGTTTTTTTCTTTTTCTCCTTAAATAAAATTTTTAAAAAAGAGTATGTTACAGAATAGTTGCTTGCATCATTTTCTCCTCAGTTATATCTAAAAAAGCATAGTAAATAATAAAATGTTGAATGATTTACAAGTGTGTAACCTCAAGATAATCATAAACATTCATGGAATGCCTCCAATGCTTAAAATGCTCAGATATGCCAGTAACTCACATTCCATCTATAGCTCAGATTCTTCTCTGAACTACAAATTTGATTTTCAACTGTTCACTTAGTAACTCACTAGGAAGTCTAATAAACCTCTTGAATGGAATATACCTGTTTTAGTTACTTTTCTCTCATTCCTGAGACAAAATTAGGGGAGGAAAGATTTATTTAGTTCACAGTTTGTGGAGGTTTCAGTCCATGATCAGCTGGCTCCAAGGCAAGGTGGCATGACAAAGGGGCAATACTTTAAGATAGCAGTAGACATCAAAAGCAACAAGAGCAAAAAACAGGGGAGAATAAGCCTCTTTTCCTCCCTTATATTGTAAGCAGACTACCACCCTCTATGGCAGGTGTAGCACTCCCAGTATCTCTGTGTCCTCCTCTAGCAGAGGATGAGTATGTTTACAAAACAAAGACCCTGGCTCTCTACTAAGCCACATAATTAAACTTCTAAAGTTCTCAAGTTGATACAATGTGTCAACCATCACAGTGTGCATTAGCCTTTCATTTAATTTCATTTGCATGTTTATTTTGTTTTGTTTTGTTTTTGAAAGAAATTCTCACTGTGTAGCCCAGGTTGGCCTTAAAATCATGATCCTCCTGCCTCAGCACCTCAGGTGCTAGGATTATAAGCATGTGTCACTTCTCTGGGTCAAAAGTAAACTCTTGGGCTGGGAGTTTATCTCAGCGGCACAAGCGCCTGCTTGGAAAGCACAACGTTGTGAGTTCGATACCAGTACCCCGCCCCCCAAAAAAGTGCATTCTTGATTATTCCTTCTACATTAAACATCTTTTCCATTACTAGGACAAAATAGCTAACATCCTCAATTTAAACGAGGAGAGGTTTATTTTGGATCATGATTTCTTAGATTTTAGCCCACAGTGAGCTGACTCTTAGAGAAGAATGTAGAAAAAGGACACATTGAAAGAAAACAGTATAAACCTCTCACAAACATCTAGAGGTAGAAAAACTGGAATATATTATAATTTGAAGCATTTTAAGAGTTTCTCAAAGTGATCTTGCCTCAGTGAGAAATAATAGTTCTCAGCTCAATACCACTCTCGTCTCACCCAACAAGTCTTGAAAGACTTGAAAGCATTAAACTACTAGAAGTATATTAGCTACTAAGATCTTTAGGTTAGACTGTGAGACTAAAGACTAAGATCTTTAGGTTAGACTCCAGCTTCACAGTCTAACCTAAGAGAACAGCATGGTAAGTTTAACATTGTCAGTATTTGAATGATATATATTAGGCAATAGGAAAACATTAACAAACTTTTTATCAGGGGCCTATTATGTCTAGATTTGACTGAACAAATATTGTAGAGACATGACGTGCAGTGCAGTATCTGGGTCAGGTAGTTTAGAACCAGGTACTCATTAAAATTCTAAATTATCTTAGAGAGTTGCTGGGAACCACTGAAGAAAGGAGAATAATAATTGCATGAAAAGTCCTAGAATAAAGTCACAGAGAAAACATAGATATGTCAGTAATATTTTTAGGAAATTTTCTTACTATGTACAATGTGATGTTCTCTAGTATTTCTAAAAAATATTCGGTAAAACATTTAGATTCTGAAAACTTAGTGAATCTGGAGCTGAATTACAGTCTTGTCCTAAGATGTAACATTTTACTGTTGTATATACTGCAATAAGAACAGAGAGCTTAAGATCTTAGTTTTTAGAATTTATTTTCTTTTGTCTTTGTTTCTGTACATCATGTTCACACTCCTCATGTACAGTTGGCACCTGTACCATAACGCGTACTTAGCCCTTTCTTCCTCACCTTTTCCTGCCCTTCTCTTCTCCACCTCTTGAGCTACGTGCTTCCTATTATCTTTTACTTGCTCTTGATTTATAGTTACATTTCTAATATAAGTAAAATCATGCAACATTTAAACTTGTACATCTGATTTATTTCACTTAACATTATGGTCTCAAAATGGAGTAAGGTGCATCCATTTTCCTACAAATACACATGAGGGAAAATGTAGTATTTTTAGAACCTGAAACTTCTGATATTCCCTCATCCTAGTGGTACTGGGGAGGTGAGAGATGGTTACTGTAGAAATTCTGTGTCATATTATTATTACAAAGCTCATGGATTCTATCATATACCTTTCTTTAGACTGAATGATACAAATTAGTCATATCCATCATTGATTCAAAAATAGTTTTGAATGTGTATATGTTAGCTCATCTTCTATTACTATAGCAAAATGCCTGAGGCAGTTTTACTTTATAAATAAAATAGGTTTATTTAACATAATTTTGGAGACTAAACAGTGAAACTCATAGCACTGGCTCACGGGAATTGTCTCATATGCCAATAGAAAAGATTACATTTCAAAACAGTGAGCTAGAGAGTGATTCGGCGATTTAAATTGCTCTTATAAAATCTCACTCTCTCAAGAGCTCAGCTCACTTGTTTCCTTCCAAAACATCTCCTCCAATTATTCTAGGACCTCACATTAGGATCCTTTATTTAAAAGGTGCACCACCACTCAGATTTGCCATTGTACAGATCAAGCTCCCTATACAGGAACTGAAGCCACATCCAAACCTTGTTAACTACTCTGAGATCAGCTGTATACTAAGGGCAATTTGTAGAGTTTATCTTATAAGTGAGATGCTAAAGAGAATGAAAGATTGATAGTGTGGGCAGACAAGAAGTAAGATAAGTAACCCACAAACAATGTTATATGATGATGTTACAAAAATTCAACCAGGCAAAAAGAAAAGTTTTGAAGGGAAGACATTTATTTATTTATTTATTTATTTATTTATTTATTTATTAGACAAGGTCTCACTAAGTATCCGTGTTGGTCTTGAGCTCCCAATTCAGCACTCCACACACCACAGGTACATATCATGACACTGGGTTCTGAAAATTTTTTATATAGTGGTCAAAAAGGACCTCACTAAGAGAGTGACATTTGAGTAAACTGTAGGAAGAAGTGAAAGAATCTTAAGGTCAGTGTTTCAGACAGAGGAAGTAAGTAATGCTAAGCTATCCCCAAGAAATCTGAGGCCAGAGCGCTACACAGAAAATGGCAAAAGATGAAGAGGGTAAACAGAGCAGGCGTAATGATAAAATCATAGAGGGTCTAGGAAATCATTCTAAGACTTTGAGTGCTGTAAGAAGCCTTCAGGTGATTTTGAGCCACTTTCTCTGCCTCAAAGTAAGGGCTGAAAAGAGACTGCAGGGACTCAGAATTGGAGTTAAAAAGATAGTAAAAAATGACGGCTGAAATCAGAATGGTAGCAGCAGAGATGGTGACAAGTGATATAGGTCTGGATTTATTCTGATGATTAAAACCACAAAATTTGCTGATGGAGTTAATGTCAGTGATTTGCACATTACATGTAGTTTCACCTGGAGAGACACTGAATCCCTTTTTAATATGAACTACAGGGACATGCTTAACCTGAAGAGCCGTGAGCAAGTTCTTACCTTAGAAACATATCTTTACAGAAAAAGGAAAAGATTAAATCACAATTTTTTTAAAAAAGAAATGGTTATATATTCTTTTATAGCTGCTAAAGAGAAAGACTGAACTTTAACAATCTCAGTCTTTATCGGCTTATTTTGAAAGAAATTGAGTTTAATCTCAATAATAAGGCATCATTTCACCTAAATCAAAATATGGTAACTGAAATGCTGAGTGCAAATTTTTATGTTTTATTTTGGGAGTGACTAAGAAAAAAAGAACTAAAGAGCTGGCTTACATTATTAATCTTTCATTCTCTTCTGCATCTCAGTCACAAATCTTCAATTATAAGGAATCCTTGCTCGTTCTGGTATAGGTATCTCTTGGTTTCTCATCCTGCTTTGACATAAAATCAAGTCATGAGTGGGAGGTCCTCACTGCGTGCAGCAACCCACTCCAGGCTCGGGACATGATGGAGTATTGCAGCTATTTCTGCCCACCTGCAGTTCACTTTGAATTTTTTGCAGCTGCTCCACTTGCAGATGGTTTGGGAACCAAATATGTCTGTTCAGAGTGGAGAGTAAGAGATTCTTGTTTTTCTTCCCAAATACACACCTTATCTCTCTTAGGTTTTGAAAAAATCAAATATCATTAGGTTTCCAAAAATATTTGTCTTGGAGCTTTGGAAGAATTCCTACTTGGTGAGGAAGTGTTATTTCAGAGAAAGCAGAGAATAAATCTCCTGATGATGTAGACGACCCAAACAATCGCAGGGGCTCAGTTGCCCAAGGCAGATCTGGGCTTTCTATGGCCTCCCTGTTTAGCTAGGGGCATTTGGGAAATGATCTTACTTGGAAATACTCCAAGAGGAAGCCAATTAAAGTCCAGTGGGACTGAGAATGCCCTATTTTTGATCACCAATCAAATCAACACTCAATAACCACACCAAAAGAGCCAGAGAGTAGTGAATTGATATGTTGCTCTTAAAATGTGTAATGATAGTCTCACTCTTGAAGGGACATTTGAAACCTGGGGATCAGTAGATAAAAGTGAGAGCTGTACATGTTAGTCTAACTTCCTCACCTCTGTCCCATATTTAGTGGCCACCCAAAGAGAAAGTAATTATCACGCAGTTGGGACCAGAAATATCCAAATTCATGGCCTCCAACTCCTGAGGATGTCGAGACATTTTCCCACTTTGTTCTCCTTTGTCTGCTAATATTGCAGTGCACTTTTTCCTTGAGTTTAATGGTGTTCCCACCTACTACAGATTTCAGAAGCTAACCCTACAGGCCATATATAACACCAACATTGCTTGCCCTGAACCCTAGCAGTATGAATTTTAAGTATTGGAGCTCCAAGTGTTTAGTTATGGTTAATTTATAACTAAACACACCAGTATTTAGTGA